GCGTCCACTCACCCTCTGCGCTTTCACTGGGAGCTGCAATCCTGAGCTGTTCCTAAATGGCCATCTTGGATCGTCTCCCCTAGTTCTTTTTTAATACACTTTTCTCTTCTCTCCCATGGGTGGTAGATTGCTTGTAACTTCTTGAGGACCAGAAGATGAAGATGGCTTATTCAGTTTTGTTTTTCCTCTGAGTCTAGCACTGGGCTTTCACATCATAAATAATCAGTACAAATTTACTACCTTGTTGATGGACTCATTAAATGATATTTACCCTTTCCTACATGCATCGTCTTGTTGAATCCTCAGTGTAACCCTATGCGGTAGGAATTCTTGTTTTTATTTCAGTTGAGGAAATTAAAACTAAAGTCCAAAATTGGGGAGAATAAATATTCTAACTCAGATCAGTCTGACTCCAAAGCTCTGAGATTTTTACTAATGTGTTCTCTGTTAGACTCAATTATAATTAGCAGAAATGGGATGAAGTCAAATGCAACATGGTATTGTTAGTAACCAAGAGGACAGAATGCATCAGGAACTCAAGCTCAGTTCATTTCCCACCGATGTCAGCTTCTTGACGACAGGGATTCTTCATCTCTTTCTGTTGTTATCAATCTGTAAATGCCCAGGTGTTGCCCATCCGTTTTCAATTACTTGTGACAGTCTAGATAAATGAAATCCCCTGGAATGTGAAATCTCATGGAGATGGCATTTTTAGTTGTTCCTTTCAATTTTTTCCTTTACCAATTCTTTCAAAAGCAGTCATGAAACTCTGAATTATATCCATTAGACATGACAAAGTAGTCCTGGTATGAAATCAGGCAGGAGACTGGGAGTTCCTTATTTAGAGCCAGCTCTGCCACTGATTTGCTGAGACATCTCAGTTTCTCATTTTGTTTAAAAATACTGATAATCATATAACAAGAGCTGACATCGATTCTTGCCAGGCACTGGGTTAAACCTTTGTATGCATTATATCATGTAATTCTAGCAATCATCTCAGAAGTGCTGTTATAAGCTCCATTTTTAGAATGGAAAAACTCAGAGGTCAAGTCATTTGTCCACTTATGCTTATCTCCCCCAGAGATGTAGAGAGAATATGTAATAATATTAAATGAAAGGACTTAGAAATACTTGGCAGAATATTATCATGGCTTATGGGTATTCTTGCTTGATGAAACAAGTATATTAAACTTTCTTTTAATAGATCAAAACTGTTGACTAAGATCCATGATGGGGAGGTCAGATCCCAAAATTATCAAGTAAGTGACTGGTTCTTCCTGCCCAGCCTCCCTCAGTGCTTCCTGTGTGCGTGGAGGGCGATATCTGAAATGGTATCCACACTGTCTTGTGCTGTAGATTGCCATAACCATCACCGAGGCTCGCCAGCTGGTAGGTGAGAACATTGACCCAGTTGTGACCATTGAGATCGGGGATGAGAAGAAGCAAAGCACAGTGAAGGAAGGAACCAACAGCCCATTTTATAATGAAGTAAGTCACGGAGGTCACCCAAGGCCTTTGCAAATAACATTCTCTTCACCACCATTCTGCAGGATTCTTCAGTCAAATAGAAGAGCTGTGTCCCTCCTGCCTCCCTCCCAGGCCCCCATTTAAGCCCATGGCAAACTCGCTGAATCTCCTTACAAACACATCCTCCTAAAGCTTTTCACAAGAAAAAGTGGTGGAAAGGAGAGGCAAGAAATCCCTCCGAATTTTAAATCCATTGCTACGTGTTCAACACATATTTTCTTATTTCTTTTCAGCTTGTTTTCCGCCATTATAAGCCCTGGGTTTATAGACAGTAAATTGATTGAATGTTGGTTAGGAAGAAGATACACATTCTTCTTCCTGGCAGAGACGTTGGAAACTTAATTATTGTTTTTGAAATAGGGCTACTGCCTTGGAAACTAAAAGTTACATTTTTCTAAGCTGTGTAGAAAATGTAAAGGAAAATCTCAGGTTTCTAAATATCATACATGCTAAATTCTCTTTTTAAAATAAAAAAATTACATGATTTAAAAAAATATATGGTAAAGAGACAGAAAGCAGACCATGATATAGAGTAATGTGTTTCTCTCTGATCTTTGATTCCCAGTCCCCTAGTCCTCTCCCTGGAAGCATTCATTCTCACTAGGCATTTGTATATCTTTCCAGAGATATTCCAAGCATGTACCAAAATACAAGGAAATATTGTACCCAAATGATAGCATTCTATACATACTGTTCTGGACTCTTCACAAAACAATGTATCTTGAAAATAAATCCCTATGGGAGGTCCAGCTCATTCTCATTTTGCCTTCCTGGCTGAAGAGTTTTCCATTGCCTTGATATGCCATAATTTACTAAACTAGTCAGTCTCTCATGAATAAATATGAAATGCTTTCAACCTTTTGCTTCTACTTATAATAGTATAACTGGGTCACAAGGTATATGCATTTAAAATTTCCATGTTGCCAATTGCCTTTCAAAGAGGTAACAAGCATTTGTTTTCCTGTAAGGACTTTGACACAATGAATTATTTCAAAAAAAATGCAGTATACTCTTAATGCCTATTCACTTAATGGGAGTGGTAATTTAAAAAGAAGGCAGGGAGAGCACAGATAATGAAATCAACAGAAAATGCCCAAATCCCATTGGAACTAATGACTCTTTTCCTCTTCATCATTTCTGCCTCAGAGCCTTTAACTATGAGTGAAATGTCAGTAGATTTTGCCTTCTTGTTCTACTGTCTAACCCCAGAAGAGCTTTTGGCGTAGATGTAATATGAAATAATATATGAAAATGCTATAAAACTGCAAAGCTCCACAGATTTACTAATTATAATAATTATGCCTACAAGTCCTGGATCTAAATGACATTAAATTGGGCCCAAGTGTCATTGGTAGGAAATCAAGCAGAAATACAAAAGTTGAACTAAAACCCTTTGTTATAACCCTTGACCTAAATATTCAAGCCCAAAGTTAATCAGGTACTGAAGGAACCCACTAGCTGGGGCAGGGGAGCATTTCCCAGCTAGAAGAATGTGTGCTGGCCTGGAGGTCTTGGAAGACTATGTTAGGCAGTGGAGTCTGAAACATATGTAACCCAGCAGAAAGTAATAAATGGTGCAAGTCATTTGTCCATCCAAAGGAAACACAGCATCTGGTATATTCAGAGAATGGAGAATTTTGTGTAAATGAATTTTCCACATAAATTTTGAACACTAGAACTCTGAAAAAGTTTAAGCATATATATGAGAAATTTCTTGAACTGTTCTATGTATTGTCCTGTCTTCTTAAACAGAAGACACTGACCGTAATGGAATCTTTGGTTGATCTCTAAAAGCCACCATTTTGAGGAGCTCTTACAGTATATGATGACATCTTTCAGTTTCCACATTTTGGTTTTTCTGTTTTGCCCTTTGAAAGCAGCCATCAGCACTTGGTCAGTTCTTCCTTTCCTACTGTGACCATGTCTATCTCTAAGGGGCCATTCCTCCAAAAAAGAAAAAAGAAAAACAATCCAAGAAACAGCTTCCCAGCCCTGTCTTCCTGATCCCCTTCAGTTCCCAAAATGCACAAACCAGGACAAAACACCGCTTCAGTTAATGCATATTTTAATCATACAACCTCGAGTTTGGGAGGATCTTGACTCAAGAGTCAGATGGCGAAATATCTAGTACTTGAACCCCTTGTGTGATAATGTCAAGAGACTAACGGTCCCAGGTCCAGCAATAATTAGCAATAGGAACCTGGGTAGTCACTTTTAAATTCTTTAGTCTTCAGTCTTCTTATCTGTAAAACATGGGCTGGTCTAGATAGTTTCTCCAACTCCAAAATTAAATCGTGTTCTTAATATTAGAAATCCCCATGTCTATAATTTTTTTTTTTGTATTCTCTCTCTAGTAAATCCTGGTAATTTCACAGGGATATTTGAAACTGAAAAATCCTGGGAAAAATAGATTTTAATCAAGTACACCCCAATTTAAAACCATACTGAAATGCCATTTTCACTCATAATTATAAACAAAAAAGTGAAAAGAACTAACAGTATCAAGGGTTGGTAAGTTTATAGAGAGATGGCTATTTTCATATGCTGCCAGGAGGAATATAAAATGCCCATTTATACTCTATTCAAAAGTTGCATGAACTTAATGTATGACCCAACAATCCCACTTCTCATGTTCATTTTAGAGGATTACTCACATGTATCCTATGCAAGAATGTGATTGACGGCATTCTTTTCATTTGAGACCAGCCTGGGCAACATAGTGAGGCCCTGTCTCTGCAAAAAATATATATATAGCCAGGTGTGGTGGTATAGGTCTGCAGTTCCAGCTACTCAGGAGGCCGAGGTAGGAGGATTACTTGAGCCCTGGGAGGTGCGGCTGCAGTGAGCCACAATCATGCCACTGCACTCCAAACTAGCCAACAGAACAAAACCCTGTCTCAAAAAATAAAAAAAAAAAAAAGAGAGTGTGTATGGGGGTATTGACAATCAATTGATGATGTATATTTATGCAGTAGTTGGTTAGAATGACAAAGATCTAAATGCACTCCAAGAACAGGATTCTTGGGTGCAAGTGTGGGGCTGATGGCCAGAATGAACTTTTTGTTTTGCAGTACTTTGTCTTCGACTTCATTGGGCCCCAAGTGCATCTTTTTGACAAGATCATCAAAATCTCAGTAAGTATAGCGTTGGTGTTGATTGTTGCAGAGAGGTGGGAGAGATTCTAGGTGTTGGGAACTCTCTGGGGCAACTCAGCATGCTTAGAGGCAAGTGTGAGTCTGTGAGTTTGTAACCAACATGCAGAACTTGAAATCACCAGTATGGAGGAGTCTGGGAAGAAAAACCACCTCAAGAAAATCTATGCTTCTTGGAAGTGGGTGGTAAGCTACTGTAAAGCTATTGATTGAATCGTGTAGCTTACTAGTGTGGGAAATGTGAAACATATGCTTCAAGTGACATCTTAAGGCATTGCCAGTTTTAGTTGGTTTCTTTTAATCAAGCAAATGTTTGTGTTTCTCTCTTGGGCTGACATCTTGGCGAATGATCATTAATTACATCTCCTTGCCCTCCTAGTTGGGTAATGAATAAAGAAATAGGAACAAGAATTAGGGAAAAAAAAATCAGCGTCATCAATGGTAATGCTGGATCAGAGGATTTGGACTAAGCAGTGGCCATCGGGATTTTCAAAAGTTGCCTCTGAGTGTAGACCTCAGAAACTGCCCTTGGGGAAGTTGACTCAGCTGCACAGACCCTTCCTCAGCCCTGCCAGGGGACATGCAGAGACAATGCTTCCTGTTCTAAGGGCCCAGTCCGAGTTTGCCCACCACAATGAGGACAGGAATGGGAAGGGGAAATGCCCATGTTGAAGCCAGACTGGTCCAAATGAGAGAGAAGTCAGGCCAAATGGGATTGTTACAAACTTCACACCATTCAGCAAAGGGACAGAGACCAGTGAATGACAGACTGCATCTATCTTACAGTCTGAGAGATCACCGCGGCTTCTCCCAAGGTGGGGAAGGAGAGCTGGAGAGTAAGTTTCTCTCTTCCAAACAGTTCTGAAAGGACACAGTTCCTACTTCATATGTCAGCATAGGAGGTCTGGAGAACAAGGGAATGATTTCCTCTACAGTCATACCAGCTGTAATCAGAATTGCGAGGATGACAAAACTTGATTTGAAGATTTCCTTCCCTGTCTTTATCACTGACTCCATATAATACCTAAACAGATATATAAAATACGTTCCCTTTAACCACAGCTGACTGTCTGCAAAGTCCTGCATTATGGCTTAGGTAATAGTGGAATTATGACATTACCCTTCCCGGGAGACTTGAAGAATGTGACTCTTGAAGAATGAGAAGTCACCGAGAGCCAAACAGTCTTGAGGTTTGAATTTCAGGCATGATGACAAGTACAGGGATATTTCAGGACCTGCGACAATGCCCAGGACTTTGTTCCGTCATCAGGCAGCCACCTTTTTGTGGAATCAGCTCCATAGGAGGCTTTTAAGACTGTCTGATAAGCAGTTTTTTTATACTGTGCCATAGACTAGGGTCAGGACTGTTTGTGGGACATGTGGACTCTTAGACAAAGGATCAAATCTACTATTGGCTATCTCTGTTTCTCTAATGTAGAAGAAGAGATTTTGGGGTCTCTGAAAGATTCTTAGACAAAAGGTTTTAAAATGAAATCTTCCCTCGGGAGAGGAAAGTTTAACACAACTTTTCTGTTAGTCCATGAACTAACTGAAAGTCCGTGTGCCCAGAATATATTCAACATGGGATAAGACGTGGGTGAGTGCTGTGAGCAGATACTATTGGGAAAGCCAGCCTGTAACACACCCTGGTGGTGCCAAAGACAGTCTTGTTTTCACGGTGGCCAAGGCATGCAGGGCTCTCAGTACTCTGAGTGTGAGACATCCCCAGAGTCTTGGTGATTCAATGCTTGACCACACCAGGGTTACCTGGTATTCGGCCACTGGATGGATGACTTTAACAGGCATCCTGTGTTATTTAAAGATTTATTTGGGGCTCTTGTATTCAATCTTGCCCACAGGGACTCTCAACCTGAGAAGAGAACTTGAGACTGGCTTCTGTTCTTCCTCAGGTCTTTGGGAAGACACACGAGCAGTTGCAAGCATGGTGGATTTTGGAGTGAGCATTGAGCCGGGTTGCCTGTACTTCACCTCGGTTCTCTGACACCTGTGGAAGGTTTAGGTTAGGGAGAGAGAGGGTGGATAGAGAAATGAGGAGGGCTGTCATTTCTTCAGATCAACTGAATTTTCTTTTGCTTTAGCAAAAAGGAGCTGTTTAGAAGCTGCAAAAGCCTTCCATTCATCTGTCATTCAGTTCGTCAATCATTCATTAATTCACTGAATGTTCCTTGAATATCTATTGTGAAGAAGGCCATGTAATGGGTGAAAGGCAGGAGGAAGCTGTCCTGAGTTATGGAACTTATAGGATTTTATAGTTAGAAGGAAGCTCAGAGGATATCTCGTATAACTTCCAACTGATGCAAGAATCCTTATCCACTTCCTCTACTATTTGGAGTTCTTGGGGCATAACTAGATTTTTTTTCCAGTGATGGGGAGGTCACTACCTCTAGGAAAGCTCATTCCATTGCTGGGAAGTTCTGACGGTTATAGACATTGTTCTTATATTGAGTGGAAATCTCTCATCCTGTTACTTGGGACCCGTAGAGGGGACCCTACTCTCTCTCCTGCATGACAGCATTAACATGATTTAAAGACACTTCTGTTGCCATTGCCATTTTTCCACACCTGCCAGTTTTCTCTTTTATGTGTGAAAGGTTGAACTTCTTTCCTGGTTCTTCAGCAGTTTCTCATATGTTGTGGCTTTTCAACCTGGCCCCAGCTCTGCACCTTCCTTTAGAACTTCCTCATCTTGAGAGCATTAGCATGAAAATGGGCTGCTGTAATCAAGCCAGGTCCTCTGCTGGCCCTGATCAGACAGAATATTGAGGACGATCACCTCCTTTGTTCTCACTGTTGTTCATGCCCAAAATGACTCAAGGCAATAGGTGATGAGTTCTCTAAGAAAGTTGTGAGCAAAATTGTAGTAGTTTAGGGGAGAAAAGAAACACTTCCAGTTTGGGGGATCAGGGAGGGCTGCATGGTGGAGGTGACATATGTTCTAGGTATTGAAAGATAGGGAAAGTTTCAACAGGAAGAGATGGGTATTGAAGGGTGAGCTGTACTCAGGTTCATTTTGGTTAAAGGAACATGCAGACACTGAGTTGTCAGGTGTCCTTCTATGGAGGAATAGCTCAAATCCTGCAAAAGCAAGGGGTGAAGGGGAGAGGCTTCTGGAGGCCCTTTACAGCCTTGTGGTTTGATGGCCAAACTCCACTGTGCTCCAGACAGGGTCAAAGCTAGACAAGGGTCAAGGCCTCTTTTTTTTTTTTTTTTTTTTTTTAATGCCATCTAAGCAAAAGTTCCATTTTCAAGAAAGTATCAATACATAGCTTTTGAAGAAAACAAAGTATTTTCCTTTTCTCATAACTTTCTATAGGGGGTATTAAATACTACTGTGGCAACAAAAGTCCTCTTAATCCTCAAGGAAATCTGCCATACTTTCTGCTCCATGTCTCCCTAGGTCTTTCACCACAAGCTGATAGGAAGTGTACTGATTGGCTCTTTCAAAGTAGATCTGGGGACCGTGTACAACCAACCTGGTAAGAAAGCATCACTTCCCCATCTCTCTCTTACTTGTCTTTGGTTTACAGCACCTGGCAGTCATCCCATTCATTCACTTACCTTTGTAACCTCGTGGTCACCCCATTCATTCACTTACCTTTGTAACCTCGTGGTCATCCCATTCATTCACTTACCTTTGTAACCTCGTGGTCATCCCGTTCACTCACTTACCTTTGTAACCTCGTGGTCATCCCATTCGTTCAGTAACACTGAGCACCAGTTATACAAACTTGAATGAAACGTGACTCTTGCCCTTAAATATTTTACAGTCTAATGATAAAATTATTTTACATGTCTACTTCTGGGGAGTTTCTTTTTTTTTTCCTCACACAAATTCTGTCCAATTGAGATATGGACAGGAGAAGCAATAGAATATAGGAGCTAAGAATACAGACTCTGGAGTCAGATTGGCTAGGTTCAAATCCCCCTCTATTTCCTACCTGTGCAACCTTGGGCAAATGACTTAACTTCTCTGGGCCTTAGTTTCCTCATCTGTAGAAATGAGGATAACATACTACTTCCTTCATAGGTTTGTTGGAGGATTGAGTAAGTTAATGTATACAAAGTGCTTACTAAAGAGTCTTGCACATAATAATGACTACAGCATTTTGTATAAGGATTTGCTATAACTATTATTATCCCTGATTGTAGGAAAGAAAAACTCAGAGAAGCTAGGTAATTTATTCAAGGTCAAGAGCAAATAAGCAACAGAGCCAGCACAGATCTTCTTATGAAAGGCCCCTTATCTTCAACAGGGACTCCAACTTCCATGACTGCAGGGGCCAGACAGTGAGCATAGCTGTGTGCAGCAGCCTGGTGTGAGGCATAAAGAATGATGGAGTCTGTGTGAAAGGAGACGAGGGCTTGTGCTCCATATACAAGGACTGTGGATACTCAGCGCCTTTGGTATTTCCTGTCATGTAGAAATGTGAAGCCAGTGGCCAGGCGCAGTGGGTCACGCCTGTAATCCCAGCACTTTGGGAGGCCAAGGCGGGCAGATCACTTGAGGTCAGGAGTTCGAGACCAGCCTGACCAATATGGTGAAACCCCGTCTCTACTAAAAATACAAAGATTAGCTGGGCATAGTGGTGCATGCCTGTAGTCCCAAATACTTGGAAAGCTGAGGCAGGAGAATGGCTTGAACACGGGAGGAACAGGTTGCAGTGAACCAAGATCACGCCATTGCACTTCAGCCTGGGCACTGCAGTGAGACTCCATCTCAAAAAAAAAAAAGAAAGAAAAGAAAAGAAATATGAAGCCAGTATTGCCAGAACTAACCATTTTAAAAGATAAGCTGGAAGTCTAGATTATGTAAGCCATCTTGGAAGTTTTGACTCACAGTGAGGCCAAACAAAAAGATCTAGGAGCCACATTTACGTCCCGTGGGTACATAATATGTATGTGACTTCTACACTTCATTAATGTCCTCCTTCCCATCAAAGCTGGAGCCTTGTCTCAGTGATTTCTGCTAGGTCGATGGCTTCCTAAGTATCTATGGTAAATTGGCGGAAAAGATGGAGAACTGGTGGCAAGCAAAGAGAGAGGAGGGAAAGGAAGAGGGAAGGAACATGAGGTTTGGAAATAACTGAGGTGTTTTACCAACCAGAGCAACAGAGTGAGGAGAGCCCGGGAGGCCTTAGCGCATGGGAGAGAAAGGAGTGGGGCTGCTGGGCCCATCTGTGAAGGATGAAGGATGTGAGCTGTAGGGGTGCTTTCACAGGTCATCAGTTCTGCGACAAGTGGGCCCTGCTCACAGACCCTGGCGACATCAGGACGGGCACCAAGGGATACCTGAAATGTGACATCAGCGTGATGGGGAAAGGCGACGTCTTGAAGACCAACACTAAAACTTCTGACGCCGAGGAGCAAATAGAAAAGTGAGACAAGTCCATTCAGGGCTGTGCATAGAAACGATATGTTCAATTTTAGTCTCTTTCTTTTCCTCTCCCCTTTTCTTATGGGTACATGAGGACTGTGCTTGTTCTCAGCTTGGCCACCTGGGATTCTGCTCTGTCAGACGCCAAGATGTGTCTTATTAAGGTGTGACTCTCCTTCAGGAGGTCGGGCTCTAGGTCAAGAACTGTCAGTCTTCCTATAACCCATAATAGATAAGCTATTCCTAAGCGTATCTAATTTTTCTTAATGTAGCTGAATTTTCTTTGAAGGAATTATAATTTCAATCACCAGTTTGTGATGTGGGAAGACACCTCTCCTAAGGTTAAGGATGGGAGACAGTATTTATCCTATCATCCTAGGACCTGGATGAGTTTGCATTCACTCCATGCATACCCTTCTCTGTCATTTACACTAGAAAGAAAACTTGTTTCAGTGATGAATCTTATTCTTCAGATTTTTATCTTATGTCGGGATCTATCTTTCTTCCTCCAAATTTCTCTTGCCTTTTCTCTGTTTCTTCAATAGAGCGTTTGCATTTGTTTTTGTCCCCCCTAAGGAATCTTTTGATCCCCGATGGGTTCCCATCAGAGAGACCCTGGGCCAGATTCTATGTGAGACTCTACAAAGCAGAAGGTTTGCCCAAAATGAACTCAAGCATCATGGCAAACGTCACCAAGGCATTTGTGGGTGACAGTAAGGACCTGGTGGATCCCTTCGTGGAGGTGTCCTTTGCTGGGCAGACGGTGAGGAATCATTGTTACCAATACTGGCAGGCCTGGGCCAGGGCCCTGCTCTCTATCCAAGATAGTTTAATCAAATCAAATTAGATAAAAATTAGGAAGTGCCTTGAAAGCAAAAGCTTGTCACAAAAAGGCAGTGGGGCCCGGCACGGTGTCTCATGCCTGTAATCCCAGCACTTTGGGAGGCTGAGGTGGTTGAAGCACTTGAGGCCAGGAGCTGAAGACCAGCCTGGCCAACATGGCGAAACCCTGTCTCAACTAAAAACACACAAAAATTAGCTGGGTGTGGTGGTGCATGCCTGTAATCCTAGCTACTGGGTGGCTGAGGCATAAGAATTGCTTGAACTTGAGAGGCCGAGGTTGCAGTGAGGAGAGATTGTACCACTGCACTGCAGCCTGGGTGAAAGAGCAAGACTCTGTCTTAAAAATAAATAAATAAATAAAAAGGGCAACAGGATGTGGCAGGGAAATGGGGGAGGGTTACCCACTTACTCTTCATTGGAGGAAATGGAAAGGAGCTATGGGTGGATTGTGGTTTAGGATCCAGGCAGACAGGCATCCTTCCTCACTCCCGGCTGCTTCTCTGAGCTGTTTATTCAGTCTCCAGGTCCTGTAGAATTTCCACCCACCTCCCGACCTGTTCCACAATCTCCCCCAGGTAGTCCTTGTCCTACGTAAGCCTGGACATTGCTCTTTTCTGCTCAGGAGCCATTGGAAGTGTCCAGGCCTGGGTACGTGGTCAGAGATTAACCCTGGTTGGCTGGATTTTGAAGCTTCAACTGACACACGTGTTGTCTCTGCCATTAAAATACAGACCTACCCTGATTGTCTCCCCTTGGCAGTGTGAACACTGAAGTGTTTTTGACTTGGGCTGAGAGGTCGTATAAGATATCACCTCCATTTTATGACAAGGAAACTGAGGTCCAGACTGGAAAAGTGATTCACATAAGGTCATACTTCTACAGAACATGAGCCTCATGCTCGAACTACATCCATTGCATTCCTGGGGATGCACAGAACTCCTGTTTGTAATATGGGTGTTAGTTTCACCCCAACCCCAATATGCTGATTAGAACTTCCTGAGGGCAGGGCTGTGACTTGCCTTTGTCCCAGATGCCTAGCACAGTGTCCAGCACAGAGGAGGTCATCAGTCATGTTTGCTGAATGTAACTGATTTTCATGGGTGTCAGATGCAGGTTCCTCATCTTTGACAACTCGCCTTGTATTTCCAACTGACTTGAAGAGTTTTCTATAGTCAGTCACTCCCTTCCATGACTCATGTCCTCCTGGGTGTGTTTTTAGGGGAGAACCACAGTGCAAAAGAACTGTGCTGATCCTGTGTGGCATGAACAGGTGATCTTCAAGGAAATGTTCCCTCCCTTGTGTCGGAGGGTGAAAATCCAGGTGTGGGATGAAGGCAGCATGAATGACGTAGCACTGGCAACCCATTTCATTGACCTGAAGAAAATCTCCAATGAACAGGATGGAGACAAAGGTAAAGTCCCACCCATCTGACTTGAAAGTGTCTCAAAATAATTGCTTTAGAGCCCTCATCTTTAAAAGGCATGGGCGAGGGCAGCGGTCCCCAGCCTTTTTGGCACCAGGGACCAGTTTTGTGGAAGACTGTTTCTCCATGGATGGGTGGGGGGTGGTTTTGGAATGAAACTTCAGATCATCAGGCATTAGGAGCCTCCTCATAAGGAGCACACAATCTAGGTCGTTCGTATGTGCAGTTCACAATATGGCTTGCACTCCTATGAGAATCTATTGGCACTGCTGATCTGACAGGTGGAACTCAGGTGGTAATGCTCACTCACCTGCTGCTCACCTCTTGCTTTGCAGCCCAATTCATAACAGGACGGGTACTGGCCCATGGCCCTGGGGGTTTAGGGGACCCTGGGTTAGAGCACCTTCCATGTATAAGGCAATTTCCATGCTACTGTAGGGTCTGTGGTTTGACTTGGTTCAGGGCAATGGATGAAGTCAGGCTCTGGGAGCCAGGAGGTTTGTTCCTGGTCCCAGGTCTTCCACAAACACTGCTATGTATCCTTGAGGAAGTCAGTCTTCCCATAATGGAAAAATGAGACGTTTTGAGTAAATCAGACATTGATAAACTAAGATCTATGGGCCAAATATGGCCTACTACATATATTAGTATGACCCACAAGATAAATAGTACCAACAAAAATTGTGTCTTCAACCCACTGATGGGAACATGAGAGTGAAGGAACAGCAGGGAGGTGCACTGACTGTGCACGCTGTGAGCCAAGGAGAGAGCTGAGAGCCCCGACTAATCCACCGAACCAGCCAGGCAGAGGTCAGGTAGAAGAATTTCAACTCAGTATATGGCTCTTTATTTGCAAACCCCAAATTAGTAGATGATAATTCTCTAAAAAGCCCAACAAACCCTTCCTTCTTTAAATTCCCAGGCAATCTTCCTCTGTGCTACAAATTTATACAAATTGACATTTTTTTGCATACATACATATGTATCTACATATAATCACACATATATGTACAAGCAAATATATACATGTATATTACTAATATATCACATATCTATATATTAAGTTAATGTAATGATTTTAATTTTTTCTTCTATTAGACTAAAGGTGTGTCAAGAGCAGAGAACAAGATTTACACATTTTTATGTCCCTAGCAGATACCATAGAGAACTCCATAAGTACCTTTGTCTAAATCTTTACATTATAGAAGTGTTTGCCACAAGATTGCTTTATGCAGAAAGCACACTCAGCCCCTCTACACAATTTCTCAAGTAGATGTAAACATGTTTTATTTACAACCTTTCAGGAACATCTTGATGGCATTCTGGAAGTGGTTTAAAATATCAGTGGTTTAAAATATAGACATCAGGACTATAAAATCTTTCTATCCATTTTAATACAATGTTCTTACTTCTCTAAGCCTACTCACAGGAGGGCTAGAATCCAGTCTATGGGAGTAGGGCATAGGGAATGTGTAGGCATAAAACTATTGACAATAATAAAATATACAGAAACATCTAATTGTCAGCAGTGGGGGATCGTTAAGCAGGTTATGATATATTTGCTTTTTTATAATAGCCTATATTCTTAGCACTTCCTAAGGGCCTGTGTAAAGCACTCAATTGATAGTTTCTTTTAATTTGTTAAATGAGACAAGTACTATTAGCATCTCCCTTTTAGAGGTGAGAAAACTGAAGCACGGGAAAATTAAAAAACTGCCCAAGGTCATATAGCTTAAACATAACAGAGCTGAGATTTGAACTCGGGCCTCAGAGCCACCAGGCTGTACTGCCTGTCATTGAGATGTTGCCAGATGTTCCTATAGACACTGCATTTTCTCAGTTACTATATATTAAGAAGGGAAAATACTTGTATCAGCAGTGAGTTCAAATCCCCAGGTCTTTTCGATTCTATGTTCAGGACACATCTTGAAACATTTACTTATGTCAGTCTCCGCTACCTTCACCCTAGTTCAAGACGCTGGTCTTCAGTTTTGATGACAAAATGGTCCTTGAACCAGTTAGACATATTCATTCTTCTAACCCTTCATGTAACAGCCAGAGTGATCTTAAGAGATACGATTATGTCACATCTTTGCTTAAATTCCCTTAAAACTTTTCCATAGTCTTTAGGATAAAGACCAAAATTTTAATCAAGGCCCCAAGACCCACCTACCTCTCCAAACTCTCCCACGCAGTTCATGTCTAGCTCCACGCTCCTTTCTAACGGGCACATGCTGCTCCCTGTAGCCAGAACGAACACACTCTCTTCGCCTGCCTAACTTCCCTCCATGCTACATCAGCTTGTGAGTTGTTCTTGCAGCACAAAGTGCATTTCCTCCGTAGTGTTTGCACTGTAAATATTTATTTGTTTAATGTTGACACCTGCTTTGTTCTCCAACAGGCTCTGTTTAGCATCTAGCATGATACCTGGCACGTGTACCCTGCTAGATGCTAAACATAGAGCCTACAGGAGAACATGGAGGAATCAAACATCTGATGAATAAATGAACAGAACTGAATACAGATTAGCATTTATGGCATTAGTACAACTGTGAACAAGTGTAAACGTGAATGCAAAAAAGCCTAGAAGGAAATATAAAAAGACTAGAAGGCAAGATGGCAATCGTAGTTGTCTTTTGGTGATGGGATATCCTGTAAATATTTTTTGTCTTTCTTGTATATTCTACATTTTGAAATGAATTGGTGGAACTTTTATAAAGCAAAAACGTAATAAACATAATGAGAGAACTAAAGCCTGGTGTCTCTCTAGGCTTTCTGCCCACCTTTGGGCCTGCCTGGATTAACCTGTATGGCTCGCCCAGGAACCACAGTCTGATGGATGACTACCAGGAACTGAATGAAGGCTTTGGGGAAGGCGTGTCATTCAGGGGCAGAATCTTGGTAGAAATTGCTGTGGAAATCCTCTCAGGAGGGGCACAGGAATCTAAATTTTCCAAGGCCCTGAAGGAGTTCAAGTTGCCTTCCAAGGACAAAGACTCCAAATCTTCCAAAGGTAAAGACAAGGCTGACAAAACTGATGATGGAAAATCCCAACAGGCTTCAAACAAAACGAACTCAACCGAGGTGGAGGTGGAGCCCTTTGATGTCCCCCCAGAGGTAGGTCTGGGCACTGTTTTATGGTGCTTTACCAGTGAGGTGAACCAGAGCAGTGACTGCCCGTGCCACAGGTTCCTGAAGGCGTGGCTGGCATATGTCTTGTTCACCCTGAAAAATTGGTGTTGGCCCAGCCCTGTGCTCTGAGGCTGATCCTCTGCCCCCTTTTGCACACTTCACAGACATCTGCCTATGATACATCCCTTTGAGCCCCCTACTCCCCCAAATATGATTCCCATGGAAACCCAAGTAAGGAGAAATAAAAGTGCTGTGCAGGAGTTTGTGGGAGTGGGTGGTATGGGATTGATTAAACTCTATCTGTGGCCTTACTTTGTTTAGTTGTGTTAGCTTAGAGTAAGCTCTGGGTGGGAGAGAATTTTGGATGCGGAACGAAGAGGAGGAAGAGTAGGTGACAAGCTGGAGTATAAGAAATTGAGAAACCTACTCCCCTACCCCAACGCTGCGGGGGAAATCACTACTTTAGGGAATGCTTATTACTCACCATGAAGCAACTGAGCACTTTCCCAGCCCAGTTCTGTCTTATGGGAAAGAGATCTGAGACTCTAAGAGAAATACAAATGGTGAATAGTCTCTCTACTGTTTAGTTTATCAATGGTAACTTGCAGTTAAGCAAATGAAAGAGCACGACGTTTTGTCAGTAGTGAAGGTAGGTAGATTCCAGCCCCCAGCTTGGCTAATTCTGCCTCTGAAAGTCTGCCTCTCAGGTCAAGTAGGCAATAATTTTGGGTAGGGAAGGGAGGTGATGATCAAAATCCTAGAGCTGTCCATTTCTAGGAGAGACTGGACAGTCCAAAGAAGTATAGCAGCAGGTTACCTTAGCCTTGGAAGAGGCATTTGTTTTTGTTGCTGGGATCTAATAAATCTTAAGAAACTGTGTAGGGGAGTGGTTGGAGTACAGGGCTGGGAATCTTGCAGTGGGGGGGCGGTGGGGAGGGGTTGTAGTTAATGGCTTCGATACTAACACCTCTCTGTGTTTTAGTTTACCCATCAACAAAATGAGATAGTTAATGGTTACCCTGCCATAGGCATCTTCTGGGGGTTAAATGAGGAAATGCATGTAAAACGGTTAGCAGAGCTCCTGGCACATACATAGGAAGCAGGCAATGCATTTTTCTTGCTGTCGTCAGTGTCGCTATGGTTTTCTCCCACCACCAGGGAGCAGCTATTCAGAGCTTTCCAATCTGTTTGTGACTCTGGAAATTTTGTGGCCCTCCTCCCTAGTTCTCTTCTCTGGACTCATATACTGTATTGGGAAATATTATCTGAAAACGTGGGTGTTAGTTTGTTGTGGTTAGAGCTCATATTATCTATATGGGACTGTGTGTAGGGGTGTTTCTTGAGAATATGTGCCAGCTTTGGAGACTTAACTTTGAACTTCACCAGAAGTTGCGGGTGGCTTAGTAGCTACCTATGCTGATATCGCCATCTGCCCCTGTGGTCATCTTTCCTGCTGTGGGTTGAAGCTGTCTATTCTTTTCTAAACAAGGATTGCCAAGTAGAAAGAGGCTAGAAAAATATTTTCTTCCAAATAGAGACAATTTGACTTCCTCTTTTCCTGATTGAATACCCTTTATTTTTTTTTCTTGCCTAATTGCTCTGGCTAGAACTTCCAATACTATATTGAATAGGAGTAGTGACAGAGAGAGGGCATCCTTGTCTAGTGCGGGATTTCAAAGGGAATGCTTGCAGTTTTTGCTCATTCAGTATGATATTGGCTGTAGGTTTGTCATAAATAGCTTCTATTATTTTGAGATATGTTCCTTTTATTTCTAGCTTATTGAAAGTTTTTTGCATAAAGGCCTGTTGAATTTTGTCGAAGGCCTTCTTTGTGGCTATTGCGATAATCATGTGGTTTTTGTCTTTGGTTCTGTTTACGTGGTGGATTACGTTTATAGACTTGCGTATGTTGAACCAGCCTTGTATCCCCGGAATGAAGTCTACTTGATTCTGATGGATAAGCTTTTTGATGTGCTGTTGTAATCGGTTTGCCAATATTTTATTGAAGATTTTTGCATCTATGTTCATCATGGATATTGGCCCCAATTTTTTTTTGTTGTTGTTGAGTCTTTACTGTGTTTTGGTATCAGGATGATGCTGGTCTCATAAAATGATTTGGGAAGGATTCCCTCTTTTTGTATTGTTTGGAATAGATTAAGAAGGAATGGTACCAGCTCCTATGTCTCATAGAATTCAGCTGTGAACCTGACTGGACCTGGACTTTTTTTGGTGCGTAGGCTATTAATTGCTACCTCAACTTCAGCCCTTGTTATTGGTCTGTTCAAGGTTTCAACTTCTTCCTGGTTTAGGTTTGAGAGGAGGCAAGTGTCCAGGAATTTATCCATTTCTTCCAGGTTTACTGGTTAACGTGCATAGAGTTGTTTGTAGTAATCTCTGATTGTAGTTTGCATTTCTGTGGAGTCAGTGGTGATAGCCCCTTTATCGTTTTTTTATTGGATCTATTTGATCCTTCTCCCTTTTCTTTTTTATTAATCTGGCTAGTGGTGTGTCTATTTTGTTGATCTTTTCAAAAAACCAGCTCCTGGATTTATTGATTTTTTTGAAGGATTTGTGTGTGTGTGTGTGTGTGTGTGTGTCTCAATCTCCTCAGTTCTGCTCTGGTCTTAGTTATTTTTTTGTTTTCTGCTAGCTTTTGAGTTTTTTTGATCTTGCTTCTCTAGCTCTTTCAATTTTGATGATAGGCTGTCAATTTTAGATTTTTCCTTGCTTCTCTGGTGGGCATTTATTGCTGTAAATTTCCCTCTAGACACTGCTTTAAATGTGTCCCAGAGATTCTGGTACGTTGTGTGTTTGTTCTCATTGGTTGCAGCAAACCATATTGCCATGTGTGTGCCTATGCAACAGTCTTGTATGATCTGCACGTGTACCCCAGAACCTAAAGTACAATAAAAAAAAGAAAAATATTTTCTTAATTCAAGTCATAATATCTTTAAGATATTTTGCTGAAGACACTTGAAGTAGATTCAATCAGAAAGGAAGGGAGGTTGGAAACTTATGTGGGGTAGAAAGTACATTTGTCTACAGGCTGTGGGGGTGTATCTTGGCTGTTATGCAGTAGGTAATAGGAGAGAGGTAAAATTCATGCACTATATAACCCTTATGTCCCCTCCCTCCTCTCTTCATCTTGGCTTCTTATTTGTGGCCAGTATCTTGTTGGGCCTGTTATCTATGGCTGCATAACAACATATCTCAAAACTTGGCAGCTTAAAACAACTAAGATTTATTTTCTCTGTAGATGAGGAATTTGGGAATAGCATAGCTCAGCAGTTCTGCCTCAGAATCTCTCATGATGTTTCCATCAAGGTGTTGGCAGGGGCCATCATCATCTGAAAGTTTGACTGTGGCTGGAGAATCCACTATGGAGATGGCTCCTTCAAATGGCAGGAGGCTGTGATTCCTTGTTGGCTTTCGGCAGGAGGCCTCATCCTCATTCTGCGGATTCTCCTACTGACTGCTTGAGGATCCTGTGACATGGCAGCTGGCCTTCCCCCGGAGCAAGAGGGATTCAAGAGGGAGCAAGGCTGAAACTGTCTTTCATGACCTGGCCACAGAAGTCATACAGTGACATGTCTGCTATGTTCTTTTTGTTAGAAATGAATCATTTGGTTCAGCCCATCCTCAAAAAGAGGAGAATTAGTCTTTACTTTTTGAGGGGAAGATTAGCAAATAATTTGTGGATATATTTTAAAGCCACCACATTGGACTTCAACCTTTCTCACACCTCAACAGCTCAGGGCTCACCCTCATCAACATGATGATGCCCTTTCTTGCAGCATCCTTGTTTTCAGCTGGTCCTCAAGCTCCAGTCTCCCCAGCTGCAGCCACACCTTTATTGCCCATCTGGATAGTCTCGAGAGATCCCATGATGCTGGCTTTGTCAACTCACCCTCATTACCACCCTCAAAGCTTATCTCCCCGTCCCAAATTTTTGCAGATCATAGCCAATCTAAAAATGGGTTCATTTAAAAATTCTGTGAACACAACTGAGTAGCTTCTTATTTAAATGTCATCCTTGATATTGGTAAGAATAAAAATAGAGCCTAACTCCATGGAGTTTATGATATAGAAGGAGAGGTATGAAATATAAATGTAACAGGAAGTAGAAAATGGTAAGTGCTTTAAGGAGGTACAGATGAAGTGCTGTTATGTCCTGGAGTGAGTGAAGTATAATTATTAAAATGTCAAGCCCCCAAGTTAGATAGCTGGGTGTAAATTGTGGCAGTATGATGCCATGGTTACTGCCTGGTCCCTGGAGAAAGATTGCCTGCATTTGAATCTAAGTAAATGACTTAACTTCCTTATGCTTATTTCCAAGAATAACCTCTTGCTTCTCAGACTCTTATTAAGGATTTGATAAATGAATATATGCAAAAATGCTCAGAACAGAACCTGGTACATAGTGCTCAATAAATATTAGTTATACTCAACAATTCTGGACAGAGATCTTAATCTTTCACTGGACTGCAGTGTCATCGTCTGTGAGTGAAATAGAAATGCCCCTTTCCTGATATACTTGTGAGAATTACAGGAGATAATGTAGGCAAAATTCATCATACCGTCTCCGACACATAGTAAGAGGTCAGTAAACATTACCTATCATAATTTTACCAGTTTGAGGAGCCAAAATGTGCTTTCAGAATAGAAAAGCATTTGAGTTAAACCTTGTAGGATGGGTGGAATTAAGACATCAGTTCTGCCCCGCTGAAATACTTACCTTGACTGCCATTTATGGTGATGTGTGTAGGCTTTTTACTAGCTGCTTGACATGAATGATGTCATTTCTGCCCCCTCTCCTCCTTGAAAGCCCGATTATGGTGGTTATTTCACAGTTGACGAACATCACACCTAGAGAGTAGACATGAATTGCTTAAAGTCAATCAGCCTGGGAGTGGAAGTGTTGAGATTTGAAGAAGGTTTTTTTTGTCTGGCTCTGGATCCTGCAATTCCTCTCTGGGCTACATGGCCTGCATTCCCTCTAGGTCTCTTAGTAGTTCCTTGTTTTGCGGTTTTTATTTTTAGCAACAGGGTCTTGCTATGTTATCCAGGCTGGCCTCAAACTCCTGGGCTCAAACGATCCTTCTGCCACAGCCTTCCGAGTAGCTGACACTACAGGCGTGTGCCACCACACTTAGCTTCTCTCTGTTTGTTAACCTCCTCCCAGAGAGTAAACTCAGCCTCAGAAATTGAGATAGGAGGCTAGTTGATAGTCTGTGGGGGAGCGGTAGGAGGAGGGTATGCTTAGTGACTAAGATCCAGCACTGAACCTCACCCTGTTCGACACTTTCTGGTCACTGGGAGCATTTCCTAGGAAGGTGGGCACCACAGTAGCTCCTGTATGAAAGAAGGGGATATCCTTCACCTAATGATATGGAAATCCTTTGGCTCTCTGGGGTACCTGTCTAGGACTCTCGACTCAGTGGAGTTCTTGATCCCTGGGTCACGGTTGCTTTATTTCCTTAGATTGTCCTTATGATCATTTCTGCAGAGATCAATAAATCCAATTGCAAAACCAGGAAGCACAGAATATGTGGCTCCAGTTGACTCAGCCTCTTAGCTCAGAAATGTAAAGCTGTGTCAGTGGGTCCAGCAACGTCTGCTCCCTGAAACATTAGCCTTTTCCTTGTCAATAAGAGTCATTTGCAAACAATTGTGTGTTCCCTTATGATGACTCCTGTCTTATGACTTGCTATAGTCTAGTCTTCCAGACTGTGGGCTCCTTGAGAGGCAGCCTTGTTGAAAACCAGGCCTTGAGTCTTGGCTGACTAATTTGCTGTGTTTGACCTTGGGAAGCTGCATAGTGTCACTGAGCTTCAGTTTATTCAGATAAAAGGTGGAGGTTGGAGTAGATAAACTCTAAGGTCCTTTTTAATATGAAGGCAGCTGTGATTCTGGGAACTGTGTACCCCTCACAGCAGCAACCAGAGTGCATGTACCCCACCCTGGATACACATGATTGGCCACTGGCTTGTACATGTGACTAATCTGCTGCCTCTTTTTATCCAGGCTTGCTTATTTGGGGAAGTAAAGTTTGATTCTGGTTAGCGTTAATGCATTGGGTGAATACATGTTCGAGTTCAGAGAGCACTGGGTCTGTGGTGAGAATACTTGGGAAAGTTACTTGACAATCTCAAGCTTTACTTCCCTCAGTTTCTTTATCTGTTAAATGGGAATGATCCAAATTTTGACCTCTTAAGATTGCTAGGAGGAACAAATAACATGATCTGACTACCTTGTGTAAGCCATAAAGTTATGCTCAAATCTAAGGATTTTATCCTGTAATTCTGTTTCTTGTCTTTGATTTTATGTTTTTGAAAACCCCAATCTCCAGAAGGTAATTCCAACCTGTGTTTCACCAGCAGCATCTTAGAAAGATACTCACACCAAGTTTATTTGTTAAAATAAAAGGAGTTTTATTTTAAGGTAGAGGCTCAGAAGGTTGAGACTGCATCATTCTAGATGAATAACTGAATTTGGATCTGCAGCTTGCAGATCCTGATTCATACATGTCTGATTTTGGGGGAAATGCTGTGTCATTTGAGTCTGAACCAGAGACTCAAATGTTTATAAATTATGCTGGATGAGGCCAACATCACAAAATCAGCTTCCTCAGGAGAAAACGAAGCCAGTTCTACCTAATAGTTTATTTTTATTTCTGTAGATTGTACCAGAAAAATGTGAGGAATTTTTACTCTTTGGAGCATTTTTTGAAGCTACCATGATTGACCGGAAGATTGGAGATAAACCCATCAGCTTTGAAGTTTCTGTTGGTGAGTACGGAGAAGCACAGTACCAGGCACGTAGCATGGACTTAGCACCTATTTCTTGAATAAATTAGTGCCTCACTTGAAGATAATAGCACTCTGGTAGAGGTTTGCATCTCAGAAAGAGATGAACAATTCCTTGTCTTCCCTGTTGTCAATATATAAAGGAGAGATTTATTTTCTTTTAAATTTAATTTTGAAGTTTTGTGGGTACCTAGTAGGTGTATATATATTTATGGGGTACATGAGATTTTGATATAGGTATACAATATGTAATAATCACACTAGGGTATATAGGGTATTACCTCAAGCATTTATCCTTTCTTTGTGTTACCAACAATCTAATTACATTATTTTAGTTATTTAAAAATGTACAATTTTATCGTTGATTGTACTCACTCCGTTGTGCTATCAAATACTAGATCTTATTCAGTCTATCAAACTGTATTTTTGTACCCATTAAGCATCTGCACTTCTCCCCTGCCTCCCACTACCCTTCCCAGCCTCTCTGGTAACCGTCATTCCACTCTCTATCTCAATAGTTTAATTGTTTTAATTTTTAGCTTCTCCAAATAAGTGAGAACATGTGAAGTTTGTCTTTCTGTGCCTTGCTTGTTTCACTTAACATGATGATCTCCAGTTCCATCCATGTTGCTGCAAATAACAGGACCTCATTGTTTTTTTATGGATGAATAGTACTTCGTTGCGTGTGTGTGTATCACATTTTCTTTATCCATTCATCTGTTGATGGACTTTTAGGTTGCTTCCAAATCTCAGCTATTGTAAACAGTGCTGTAACAGACAATGGAGTGTGGTATTCTTTTGGATATACTGACTTCCTTTCTTTTGGATATATACCCAACAGTGGGATTGCTGGCTCATATGATAATTCTGTTTTTAGTTTTCTGAGGAACCTCCAAACTGTTCTCCGTAGTGGTTGTGCTAATTTGCATTCCCATCAACAGTGTATGAGGGTTTGCTTTTCTCCACATCCTCACCAGCATTTGTTATTGCCTGTTATTTGGATACAAGCCATTTTAACTGGTGTGAAATGATATATCATTGAAGTTTGATTTACATTTCTCTGATGGTTAATGATGCTGAGTGCCTTTTCATGTGCTTGTTTGCCATTTGTATGTTTTTTTTTTTTTTTGAGAAATGTCTATTCAGATCTTTCACCTATTTTAAAATCAGATAATCGGGTTTTTTTTTTTCCTATAGAGTTGTTTGAGCTCCTTATATCTTCTGGTTATTAATCCCTTGTCAGATGGATAGGCTACAGATCTTTTCTCCTGTTCTGTGGGTTGTTTCCTCACTTTATGGATTGTTTCCTTTGCTGTACATCAGCTTTTTAACTGGATGTGATCCCATTTGTCCATTTTTGTTTTGGTTGCCTATGCTTGTGGTGTATTACTCAAGAAATCTTTGCCCAGATCAATGCCCTGGGGAGTTTTCCCAATGTTTTCTTGTATTAGCTTCCTAGCTTGAGGTCTTAGATTTCAGTCTTTAATCCATTTTGATTTTTTTTTATATATGGTGAGACATAGGGGTCTAGTTTCATTCTTCTCCATATGGATATCGAATTTTCCAAGTACCATTTATTGAAGTGACTGTCCTTTTCCCAACATATGTTCTTGATACCTTTGTCAAAAATGAGTTCTCTGTAGATGAATACATTTATTTCCGGGTTCTCAATTCTGTTCCATTGAGTCATGTGTCTGTTGTTATGCCAGTACCACGCTGTTCTGGTTACCATAGCTCTGTAGCATAATTTGAAATCAGGTAATGTGATTTATCCATTTTTTTTTTAACTTAGAATAGCTTTGGCTATTCTATGTCTTTTGTGGGTCCAAGTAAATTTTAGCATTTTTTTCTATTTCTGTGAAGAATGTCATTGGTATTTTAATGAGATTGCATTGAATCTGTAGATTGCTTTGGGTAGTGTGGACATTTTAACAATACTGATTCTTCCAGTCCACAAACATGGAACACGTCTCTATTTTATTGTGTCCTCTTCAGTTTTTTTCACCAATGTTTTATAGTTTTCATTGTGGAGATCGTTTACTTCTTTGATTAAGTTTATTCTGAGGTATTTTATTTTATTTGCAACTATTGTAAATGGGATTACTTTCTTGATTTCCTTTTCACATTGTTCACTCTTGGCATATAGAGATGCTACTGATTTTTAAATGTTGATTTTGTATCCTATAACTTTACTGAATTTGTTTATTAGTTTTAATAGTTTTTTGGTGAGTATTTAGGTTTTTCCAAATATAAGATCATATCATCTGCCTGATTGCTCTGGTTAGGACTTTCAGTGTTAAGCTGTATAGAAGTGATGAAAGTGGGCATCCTTGTCTTATTCCATTTCTCAGGGGAAGCTTTCAGCGTTTCCCCATTCAGTATGATGTTGGCTGAAGATTTTTATATAGGGCTTTCATTATTTTTCAGGTATGTCCCTTCCATGTCTACTTTGTTGAGAGTTTTTAAAACCATAAAATGATGCTGCATTTTATTAAATGCTTTTGCTGCATCTCTTGAGATGATTATATGGTTTTTAATTCTCTTTATGCAATGTATCACTTATATTGACTTTCCTATATTAAACCGTCCCTGAATCCCTAGAATGTAATCCACTTGATCACAAGGAATTTTCTTTGTGATATGCTGTTGGATTTGGTTTGCTAGTGTTTTGTTGAAGACTTTTGCATCTGTGTTTATCAGGGATATTGGTCTGTAGTTTTCTCTTTTTCCTTTCCTAGTTTGGAATCAGGGTGATACTGGCTTCAGAAAATGAGTTAGAAAAAATTCCCTTTTTCTCAGTCTTTTGGAATAGTTTCAGTAGAATTGGTACCAACCCTTTTTTGAATGTCTGGTAGAATTCAGCTGTGAATCCATCTGGTCTTAGAATTTTTTGTTGTTAGCAACAATTTTTTTAATGGCTGACTCAATCTCACTGCTTGTTATTGGTCTCTTCAGGATTTCTATTTCTTCCTTACTTAATCTATAAATGTTGTATATTTCCAGGAATTTATCCATGTCCTCTAGATTTTCTAGTTTGCATGCATAGAAGTGTTCACAGTAGTCTTGAATGATCTTTTGTATTTTTGTGGTGTCAGTGATAATGTCTCCATTTTCTTTTTTTTTTTTTTGTCTTTTTATTTATTTATTTCCCATTTATTTTATTGCATTTTAGGTTTTGGGGTACATGTGAAGAACACGTAAAATTGTTGCATAGGTACGCACGTGGCCGTGTGATTTGCCACCTTCCTCCCCATCACCTACATCTGGCATTTCTCCCCTTGCTATCTCTCCCCAGCTCCCCACCCCCACCATCCCTCCCCTATTTCCCCCCAACTGACCCCAGTGTGTAGTGCTCCCCTCCCTGTGTCCATGTGTTCTCATTGTTCAAACCCGCCTATGAGTGAGAACATGTGGTGTTTGATCTTCTGCTCTTCTGTCAGTTTGCTGAGAATGATGGTTTCCAGGTTCATCCATGTCCCTACAAAGGACCCAAACTCATCGTTTTTGATGGCTGCATAATATTCCATGGTGTATATGTGCCACATTTTCCCTATCCAGTCTATCGTCGATGGGCATTTGGGTTGGTTCCAGGTCTTTGCTATTGTAAAGAGTGCTGCAATGAACATTCGTGTGCACGTGTCCTTATAGTAGAACGATTTGTAATCCTTTGGATATATACCCAGTAATGGGATTGCTGGGTCAAATGGAATTTCTATTTCTAGGTCCTTGAGGAATCGCCACACTGTCTTCCAAAATGGTTGAACTAATTTACACTCCCACCAACAGTGTAAAAGTGTTCCTATTTCTCCACATCCTCTCCAGCATCTGTTGTCTCCAGATTTTTTAATGGTCGCCATTCTAACTGGCGTGAGATGGTATCTCAATGTGGTTTTGATTTGCATTTCTCTGATGACCAGTGATGATGAGCATTTTTTCATATGTTTGTTGGCCTCATGTATATCTTCTTTTGTAAAGTGTCTGTTCATATCCTTCGCCCACTTTTGAATGGGCTTGTTAGTTTTTTTCTTGTAAATCTGTTTTAGTTCTTTGTAAATTCTGGATATCAGCCCTTTGTCAGATGGGTAGACTGCAAAAATTTTTCCCATTCTGTTGGTTGCCGATTCACTCTAATGATTGTTTCTTTTGCTGTGCAGAAGCTGTGGAGTTTGATTAGGTCCCATTTCTCTATTTTGGCTTTTGTTGTCAATGCTTTTGGTGTTTTGGTCATGAAGTCCTTGCCTACACCTATGTCCTGAATGGTTTTGCCTAGATTTTCTTCTAGGGTTTTTATGGTGTTAGGTCTTATGTTTAAGTCTTTAATCCATCTGGAGTTAATTTTAGTGTAAGGTGTCAGGAAGGGGTCCAGTTTCTGCTTTCTGCACATGGCTAGCCAGCTTTCCCAACACCATTTATTGAACAGGGAATCCTTTCCCCATTGCTTGTTTTTGACTGGTTTGTCAAAGATCAGATGGTTGTAGATATGTTGTGTTGCCTCCGAGACCTCTGTTCTGTTCCATTGGTCTATATCTCTTTTTGGTACCAGTACCATGCTGTTTTGATTACTGTAGCCTTGTAGTATAGTTTGAAGTCCAGTAGTGTGATGCCCCCCGCTTTGTTCTTTTTGCTTAGAATTGACTTGGCTATGCGGGCTCTCTTTTGGTTCCATATGAAGTTTAAGGTGGTTTTTTCCAGTTCTGCGAAGAAGGTCATTGGTAGCTTGATGGGGATAGCATTGAATCTGTAAATTACTTTGGGCAGTATGGCCATTTTCACGATATTGATTCTTCCTAACCATGAACATGGAATGTTTCTCCATCTGTTTGTGTCCTCTCTTATTTCGTTGATCAGTGGCTTGTAGTTCTCCTTGAAGAGGTCCTTTACATTCCTTGTTAGTTGTATTCCTAGGTATTTTATTCTCTTTGTGGCAATTGTGAATGGAAGTTTGTTCTTGATTTGGCTCTCTTTAAGTCTGTTATTGGTGT